ACACCAGAGGGCTACGACGACAACGAGTCTGTCTATCTCGCTAGCGGTCGAATATACGGACGATTGATACAAATAACTCACCTTGCGAGACTCTCTACGTCTAAGGTAGAGACTACCGGGTATAGCCTTACTGACGAGTCCACCTGTAGTCCCGGGACGAAACGCAAAACTCTCTTTTCATCCGCCACACAAGATTATCACAAAGCTTAACAAATAATAAGTCTAATGAATAATAAGTTTGACGAACAATGAAGTTAGTGAATAATAAATTGTACGAATAATTAAGTTCAACAGATAATAAGTCTAATGAATAACAAGCTTAACGAATAGTAAGCTTAATGAATAATATGATCTACGAATAATAAATTTAATGGGCACTATTAACAATGTTTTTGGGTTCAAACGAATCCACGGTCAACGAGATAACTCTTTACTAAGCGTGAAATAATCAAACGATTGACGAAAATGCTCGAGAGTGTCACTCTCCAAGGCAATCGCACGAATGCCAGCCTCGTGGAGATTTTTCTCGCTGTACGATTGCCTTTTGTTTTCTATACTCGTTTGGAAACATCGAGAAGGTTCCAAACGCCCGTTGCTAGGCAGTCTCTGCCTGCAGTTTGATCATTGATACAATGTATGTCCCATTGTATCGGCACCTCAGAGGCAGCCTCACACGTGGCTAGGCCCGCTCTCGAGGCCGCATGCCGCCACAACCACACTTCTCGGAAAACCCATACAAACACTCCAGACCTCCGTTAGGCAAAACGTTTATCTCTCGCCACGTTCGGCGACCAACTGTCACCTCGAACCCAATCTCGCTATCACAAATTTTAAACAATTACAGCTATGATAAAATTTAGGCTAAAGCACTAGAGGATGTTCCCAAAATTTCCAAGGAAAGGCTTTGGCTTTCTCTTCATCTCTGACGTATATAATACATAGATTTCTGCAGGATAAGTAAGTAAAGTAAATGATAAAGAAATTGCGAGGATACTTTAACAAGTTACATCAATTTCGTACAAGATATATGTCTCTAGACAATGTATACGCGTAAAACATATAAAATCAATATGCTTTAGCGAATTTCATGTAACTTACTCATTGTACAAATGTTCTCATAATAATATTAAATTCAGCCATTATGCAAGTTTGTCGCTTATCATAGGAAAAGAAGCTATGTAACATGAAACAAATAAAAACAAATAAAACTATACAACTGCTTTGACGTATTAAACGATTAATTAACGATGATTCAATTAATTCAATAACGTATCATAAACAAGTATATGGAACATCCAGCTGTGCCCATATTGCTATAATAAGTCGATGGCGAATTTTTATGCAATACTGCATACATGCAATATTTTACAGAATACATTTACAGAAAAATATTCAAAGTATAGCGTTTGCTCTAACGCTTGACAGATAAAACAATTTTCTATCGTGGCTCTACTCTTCCAATCATATCCTCAAAAAATATGAGTTTCTATAAAAATCCACCGTCTATGAATAGCAGTCACTGTATATAAATTTCGCGTGGCGTGATCAACGTGTTGACGAATCGAATACATTCGAATGATCGACTACGGGCAACCGTTTCCTCGTATTCATCGAATATTAGTGGAAAAGGCATCGTCTCGAGAGAATCTCTGATCGAGAGTGTGCTCGAGCCGCGATAACAACGAAAAACGGTCGGCCACGGACTGTTGGCGTTGGTCAAAGGTCACTGACGATGAATAGGCTGTTGCAAAAGGGTGAAACCAAGTGTGGGCGGCATTGACCCATTAACTAGAGTACGTCGGATTCCCAAGATTCACGGGGGGATAGAGGCGCGCCTATCCTGCAACCTCAATCAAATTATGTATAACAAGATACAGTATGTATAACGAGAGAACACGTTCTGAGATGGAATAATTGTTCACGACCGTATGGTATAATTTATTCGACCGTATAACGTGCATGAGTTCGTATTCAAATATTACACACACAGAGAATTGCGCTGTGCTGGTCTCGCGTGTTGGACCAATATTACCTGATATCGTTTCGCTGTTTGAAATGATACTAATTTTGCTGGTATAATAGAATCTTCAATTTTACGTTTTCACGATGTTCGTGTGATATACAGGGTGTCTGGTTTTAACCTCTTAGGTACAGTCGAATTTTGTGCGGGGCTGTTTCTCTGTACGGCAGAGAACCTAAAACGAGAAGCTACCTGAAGTGTTCGATTCTTGTACAAGCACAAGATACACATCTACGTATCTCTCTTTCTCTATAATTTTCCTATTTTTCCATTCGTCTTAATTCCACTTTTGCCTCTATTTCGGCGTTCGATAACTATGATAAAACCGAATCCGTGTACACATTAAAAACGTCGACAGTATAAATGTAACCTACGGATTGGTTTCTCTTTCCGAAATAATTTCTCTATCGATTGCTCTTCTCTAATAATTTCCTATTTTCTCAACTCGTCTCTGATGGCTTTTAATCTCCCCCTATTTTCGGTAACTTCCGCTCGGCTCGGTTTACCGTGTAATCGAATTTAATCGCTTTGAGTTGGAAAATACAGCAGCGCACAAAAGTATTATACGACGATGTGAGATTCGACGCTGTCGTAGGATCTTTAATAAAATATTCGTTAACGAAGATAATTAGCCAGCTTACGCCCCTTACGCTCTTTGCTGTTTTACCTAACAAGCATCTTCTCCAAGCTTCGAAGAAACTGCGAAGGACGCGCAGGTTTACAGACGTTACTTTTGCGCGACCGTGTATCTCCGTGCGTCAAACAACGTTCGTTTTAGCGCACTTAAGCCAGAAACGGGGAAGGCCAATTAAAGCTCAGCTCGTTACCAAGCTGCTCGGCCGCGTTACTTCGCACGTGCGCCGCGAATCCAGACAAACGCGATAAAAGACGCGGGGGGACGATATCGTGAAATACACGCTCGCTCATCCAATTATATTAATTAAATATCTGTCGGCGAGATGGTAAAGAGGGCAACACGGCCGATAACGCCGACCATTTGTAAATGAATCGCACGAGAATGATATTTTTTCATCGCGTGAAGGAGGAATTTTTTTCCTACAGGTATACGTTGTTACTGTAATTCAACCCTTGAATTGAATACGTTACTTGAATTCAAACCTTCCCCTATAGCAATGACTGTTATCACTCATCAAAAAGCTCCTATTCTACCTTCACGCTTCTTAATATTTGATACCGTCGCTATATTCTAATTTCTGGTAACATGCTTGTTACTCGACCTTCTTATAAATCCATAAATATCCTCGGTCTATCGTTCATCGAGTTCATCTTTTCACAAGCAGTAGAACTTATGGCGCAAGGCAGTGGATTTTCCGATATCTTCGAATCCGAGGAACCATCGTTCTTACGTAGTTTGAGATCGCCACACGTGTCCAAGAGAAATTGGAATACCGGAACAATTTCATCGTCGCTGCGACTAGCGCATCTTCGCTAACAGAATGGTACACTGGTATCTAACAGAGATAAAATTCCATTACTCGATATACGTATCTATATAGTACTATAAGACCGTACTATATAGTAGAATATAGTAAAATCCATTTATTGGAGCGAAATTTTAGCTGATACCCGTTTAATCGAACTTCTACCGATTGAATTCGTTTATTTGGGCGTGAACTATCGTGCGAGCGAAAAGTAATACGTTGGCAGGAAAATTGGTGGAGTCCATTTAAACGAACGTATAACATATATTACGAGTGAAGCACGGCCAGTGTTCTACCGTGCAGACAGACTTATACCACTGTAGTAACAGACCTACTATTTACTGCAGCGACAGACCGATTCTCCTGCAGTAGGAAAACGTGAGAAGGTAATTTCTATTGAACACAGAGGCTTAGATCAGGAAGCCTCGAATTGCATCAACGATATAAACCCGAGCCGTGCAAGCTTAAAATCCTTTTCTGCGTGTAACTCATGTACGTTGTATCTGTAAACAAGAAGGTGCGATTCAAGTAACGTTAGCCTCTGGCGTGTCCGCTCTTCGACCGCTATAGGTATAGCGAAAGGGTTAAATCGTGTAACGAAGCAGAACCTATCATGGTCATCGCGAGTAATCTCGTTATACGAGGGGGGCAACTTTTATCTCTGCACACTTGCCGCGGTTACGTAAAGTTATTAGCTTGACCTATATTTCCACGACGGTGAAACAGAGGGAAGAGGGTGGAGGGGAATGCGAAAGAGCACGCACTAAAACCCCGCGAATAGTCGGGAAATTGGTCTTAGGAATCAATTTATCCCTTTTTTTTCTCTTCCTCTTTCGTATTTCTGCGCTCGAACAATATGAGAAATTTATGAAAAGAATAAAAGGTCGTATGCAAACCGGCGATGATATCCGGTACGGCTTCGTATTTTTCCAGACATTATTAAAAAGTTTAATTTAAACGTATATCGCTGGCTAATTACGAAGAGAAAAGTACGTCTCGAAGGAACAATTCGTGGCAAATAAATGCCACGAAACAAAGGCTTTTACAGCTTAAGAGAATACTTTATGATACAGTTACTGCGTTTCTTGTTTGCTATGTTTTCTTATGCGAAATATCGCACTTTACTGCAGTGCTACTAAAAGGAGACTCGAATGTTTACAGCTACGATAATGGTGCAAAGAAACTCATTTTACACTTTCTTGCAGCTATTATCTATTCGCTAGAAGCGTGCAAATCTGGAGTTTCCTCGAAATAATTAGAGCATCGTTTTTTTATCAGTTTCATTCGATTTGATCCGCTACTCGTAAGAATAATCAATCAAATATAGCGCTTCTTTGTTCTCTTTCTTCTAATCGATGCGATAGAACCATTCGTAGTAACTATTCTTTAATTCTTCCAACCAATGTAATAGAACCAATGTGTATTTTATATTCATTCGCATATTATACACATTCTATAATAGTTACGTATACATACGTATATTCCACAAAACGATTAATAGGAAAAAGAAACCAATTAAAGTCGTGTGTCGTACTCACGTTGACTGCTGCTCCGTCTAATGATGTTCTCGAGGAATGTGTTTTGCGGGGCGACCAGGCCCCTGCGCCCCCCTGGCATCCTTTCTTCCTTGGATGATCCCGGATCCTGGTCGCTGCGGCTATCAGGACCTCGTCCAGCCTCTAGCTACGACGATTACGTGCTGTCTTCCTCGCCGCATGTCCAGCCTTCTTCTCTCGATCTTTCCTCTTCTCTTCTATTCTCTCTTAATACTTTCTTACAGCTGCACAGATGCACACGCGCGACAACAAGCTGTACGTTCACTAACTGAATGTCATGACTCGAGGGTAGTTCACCATTGTGGTATCGCCCGAATCACCTGTCGACGGTTTCACGTCCGCCTGGAACCGGTCCAAACGAGCACAACCGCCGCGACCTGCTATACGCCTTTCCAAACACGCTGTAGCAACACGCTCGACCAATTGTCCCGTACACGTCCGTGTAAATCCTCGGGCGAGATAGTTCGCACGTTCTATAGCGTGACAGTGGCCGGAAACGTTCGTCCGAACTTCCGATCTCGCAGTCCTCTGACCTTCCACAGCTGGGACCGGCCAGACCGATAGAAGCTTGTCGATTCTCCAACACAACACCCAACAGTTTCTCCCTACGTGTATATAATACAGAACACTCGGGCCAAACCGGACTACGAGAAACTAAAAGGAAAATATGTAAGAAACTAAAAATAATAACGCGAATTATCCAGGACAGATCTTGGACGATTTCAGGATCCACCTGGCAGTAACCTAGACGTCTCTGTCGTCACCTGAACGCGAACGGTCCTCCGTTGCTCCAACGATCAGCGTTCCTATACCTCCTCCAGCTTGGTACGTGCTCCAGTTCCGCATCCACCGTGGATACGACTCGCGACGGAGCAACTGGAGACCTTTGACTCTTCGTCGTCGATGAACGAACGTCGATCGACGACCGTAAAGAAGACAGGAAGATGGGGGAGAAGATGGTGGTGGAGGACGATGATCCGGATTTATCGAGGCACCGACCACGACAACGTCGATGGGCTCGCGGAACTGTCCCCGGCTGGTGGACGCGCGATCGATGACCCATCTAACCGCAGTCCTTCCAGGTGATCGCGCGCGCTATCACGGAAACCCGACGGCAAGTAATTAGACGACTGCGCGCTACCTGCCACCTCGTTCTCCACATCCTCGGCGTCCTCC